GAAAACCCAGAGTGAAATGAACGCAAGTCTTTAGATAGTCTTTACACAACCGATGGTTTTATTCATCACATACAAATAACATCAATAACGCTCACTGCACGTATCTCGAATATAGCATATAGATATAATATATATTGCTCCGTGATCTCCCACATCTGGTAACCATGGGACCCCCTTCCCCCTCGCTTGTTTGTGTCGCTGGGGAAAACTTTCTACCTCTGTTGCGGTGGCTGGTCTCTGTTTGTATGACGTCATCCCCCCTGAAATCTCCACAACTCTTCCCAACTTCTCTTAGTATCCGCCCTCGGATACGATTTACCTTCCCTCGTCGTGTGATAGTCGTTCTTCTTCTCTGCTTTTTTCCGTTGTTACCATTATTTGTCACTGTTTCAGTCGTGCTCTCTACAGTCCTTTACCGTGTCGTCGTCGTGCACATGTACTACAGTATTGACACTGGTGTTCGATGTCTTTCCTGTACTCAGGCCAGTAGAATCTCTGCTGAATACTAGCCCTGCTTCGTTTTTCACCTTGATGTCCTCCCGTTCGATGATAATGCAATTGTTGAAATACTTCTTTCCTCAATTCTGCAGGTATTATCAGCTGACTGATTGGCTGGATTGGTGTCACCGGTGTCTCCCACCGCCGATACAATCGTCCTTCGTGTACTTGCCCCAGTATGCTTTTGCTTCCGCTCCCATTGCTGTGATCTCCGAAAACTCAGGCCCATCTGACGCCGGTTCTATTCGTTCCTTGAAGAAGACGATGACAGGATCCCTGTCCTGTAATCTCTTTACGTTCTCGGGGTGCCATATACCATGGTCCTCCCCCTCATCCTCAGGGTTTTCTGTACGATCCTCTCGCCCCTGATTCTCATCGATCATGACTAAAACGCGGCCATGTTTCTCTTCATCCTTCCATGAAGAATCATCAGTCCTCCCATTACGGCTGGGTGGTTCATCTCTCCTCTTTACCTCGTCTTCCCCGTCTTCTTCTTTCGGAAAGGCCGTCTCTTCCTCGCCTGCTCGTGTTTCTGTCGCCAATGATACGATCCTCTTTGCAACTCCATGTCTGTTATTTGGGCAATTCTCCGAGGGGAGTCTCTTTTCCTCGTCCCCTTCTCTTCTCTTCTCACTGTCTGGTACAGTCCCTTCTGGCAGCACTTACAACCCCTCAATCTTCTTCTTTTATCGAAATTGAAGTGAATAAGTCGTGCTTTACCTCTCTCCGCCTTGTGATGGACCAGGTCACCGACCCTATGCCTGGTCCTAATGATTGTTGATCTCGCATTCCAGTAGCATTTGGTAACGTGGATTTCTTTATATCGATGTCATGCAGTCTCTGCGGACAGGCGCTCTGCATATGTCCGTTCCTTCTGCAGTAATAACACTCAATGTTTCTCATTGGTGCCATGTCCTGCTGTGACCTTGCCATTCCTCTCATAGGTAGGTATGGTGTGCCTTGACCTGGCCCTTGTCCTTTTCTCCAACCACTGCTTTCACGCGGCCTCCACTGACTCTCGGTTTCACCCCTCATCTTATCCATTGTTTGCTTTAGATGCCGTACCTCATCTCACAGTTGGTTAAGCAGGCTTGATGTTTGATCTATTGGCTACTCCACAGCTCGTACATGATAACTCCTGTCTGGTGGCGGCTTCATGCTATGTACTGTTTCTCTCGTTACTGCTTCGAACTGGGCTACGCGGGTTATAGCTTCATCCATTGTTTTCGGCTGTTGAAGGAGTACATAGCGCTGAATCTCCGTATCTCCCAGACCTTCCAAGTACTTATCGATCAGGATCTCCTCAAATTGATGACCGATCATTCCCGGGTATGCACGATTAATCAGCTGTCGCACGACGGCTCCGTATTCCTCAGGAGTTTCTACCCCTCTCCGGTTACTGTTGCGTAACTCGCTTCGATGTACGGTGCCTTCATAAGACGCGCTCTTGCGGGGGAAGTTGGTATCGTGTCTTAGTGATACATTGTTTGATGATATTTTCATTTGCGAACTAGCTATGGCGGCCTAAGTTTTTGTTTTTCTTTTTAGCATCTGTGCGTGCACGGCACGAAACACGGTCAATTCTGGCATAGCTTGTTTCTCGCTGGAGTACCTCGCAGCCAAGAGCGGGAAGGCATCTTATCATCAATGCTATCAGGATCGACTTTATCGGGCTAGCATTCGGCTATCCGAGACATAAAATGCCCAGCAGCTAATCTGGACTGCCCCAAGTCTTCCAATCGTGGCCAGTTGTTGTAAACCGGTAGCTGCTCATGAGACAAATTTAACAGAGGAACTGTTTTTAAGCAGTTCCGTCTCCTTTCCTGAAATGGTTTGGCCCGCTTCCGTTCCCTTCTTAGAGTGTGCCTGCTATGGACGCGTGCGCTGGCCATTGTCGGGCGGGAATCGTCCCCCATGCGTGTTGCGCTGCTCTTCTCACGTCGTTAGGATAGGCAGCATGATCGTCATCCGCCCGGCGGTATCCGGCTCTTTCTTTCTTCGTCTTTGCGTGATCAGTGTTGCTTGGAAGCAGGCATTGCTTGTCCACATCGATCGCCTGCCCAAGCTAAATATCGCGATGATTTCGGACGTAGGGTGCTGCTTCGCGTTGACTGACTGGGCTGCCCCAGTTTACTTCGAGCGCTCTCCCTAGTCCCTCCTTGGCATGATTGCGGGGTCTGTGTTAGAGCGCTGCCTCCTCGTT